CCTCAGCAGGCCCAGGCATTGGACATCACTCTCTCCCCTCAGCAGGCCCAGGCACTGGGTATCACTCTTACCCATGAGCAGTTCAAGGCACTGATGGTTACCCTCACTCCTGAAAAATCCCAGGGTTTGGGAGTCACACTCACACATGAACAAGTCCAAGCATTGAGAGCTCCTGTCATTCTCCAGCAAGAAGAGACATTGAGGGACCATATTACTCCTATCCAGGGCCAGACTCTAAAGGCACCTGCCCAGGCACATGATATGATTCTTACCCCTGAGCAGAGCCAGGCAATGCAGATCCCTGTGACTACTCAACAGGCCCAGATACTTGGTGTCCCTATCACTCAAGGCCAGGATGAGGCATTGGGAGTCACTATCACACCACAGCAGGCAGAGGCACAGGCACAGGCACGGGCACTGATGTTCACTCTTACTCCAGAGAATGCGCAGATTTGGGGTATCACACATACCAATGAACAAGCCCCGGCAGTGGGTATTACCCTCACCCCTGAGCAGAAACACGTATTGGAGGTCCCACTTACCTTTGACCAGGCTCAGGCATTAGAGACCCCTCTCACTGCAGAACAGGCCTGGAAATTGGGGGTCGCTATCACTCCAGAAATGGCTCAGAAAGTATCACACACTCTTTTTCTTAAGCAGGGCAAAGCATTGGGGATCGGTCCCACCTATGAACAGGCTCAGTCATTTGGCAGTCCTTTAACTCTGAATCAGGCCCGGGCATTGCGAATCCCAAATGCCTGGTTATCAATTATCACTCGTAGGCATGAACAGTCTTTGGGGGCCCCTCTCACCTCAGATAAAGCCCAGGTCTTAGGATCTCCCCTTACCCGTGAGCAAGTTCAACCTTCGGGAGCTCCCTTCACTCCAGGACAGGCCCAGCCCATGGGTATTACTCACATGTCTAAGCAGAGCCTAGAACCAAGAGCTCCTCCCATTAATGAGCAATTTTCACAATTCCGGGCTGGTCCTTCTTCAGGACATACCCAGGAAGTTGGGATCTTTTCCATTCCTGATAAATCCATCAAACCAAGTGCTCCTCACATGCCTAAGCCGTCCACCAGATTGGCCCCTTCTACTCTGAAACCATTTCAAGAATCAAAGACTTCTCTCCTTTCTGGGCAATCCACTACATCAAGAACCAGATGGCCCCTGGTACCATCTGCTCTTATTGATGAGAAGACCCCTGGATTTAAGGTCTCTTCTACTTCTTTGCAGACATCAGGGTTTCCTTTTACCCAAGCCCCATTTGTCTCTGGGAAATCCCGAGGAAAGGGGAGCTTCGGTAGGGAGCTTCCTTCCTCTAAACAGACACTGGTTTCTAAGGGTCAATTCACCCCTGTGAAGTTCCTAGCACCAGAGGTCCCTCCCACCCCTGGGAAGCTTTCAGTATCTGGGCCCCCTCCCACTCTAGGGCAGCCCCTTACACTGGATTCCCCTCTTAGCCCTAGGCAGATCCTCATACCTAGGGACTCTCTGACTCCCCAGTCACCCCTGATATCAAAGCTTCCTCTTGCCTCCAGGCAACCTCTTATATCTGGGATTCCACCCGCCTCTTCACAGATTCCCAGTCTCTGGGCTCCTCTCTTTCCTGGGAAGCCTTTGATTCCTGGGGCCCCTTCTGTGCCTGGGGAGCTCATGGAATCTGGACTCTCCACCTCTGAGCAGCCCCAGGCATTTCAGCTCCCTACCGCCTGTGAGCAATCTCCCTATCTACAAGCCCCTTCTACCCTTGGGGAGCTTCCGGCACCACAGACCTTTCCTGGGCAAGCTTTCCCACTATGGATCTCTCCCACCCCTGGGCATCCCCCACCACCACCGACCCCCTCAACCCCTGGAAAGCCCCCAAAAGATTTGTCTCTGAAATCTAAATCAGCATTGGTCCATCCCGGTGCTCCAAGTTTCAAGGTACCACAAGCCCCTTTCACCACTAAGAAGTTCCAAATATCAGAGGTCTCTGACACTTCTGAAGAAATCCAGGAACTCCGAGATTCTTTTACTATGGAACAACTTAGGACATTTCAGTCCTATCTCACCAAGTATAGGACACCAGTATCACAAACTCCTTACATTGATGAGGGGGCCCTGCCCACTCGCATGAAGCCTATAACATCACTGCCTCCTCTTACTACTCAACTACCCAAAAGATCACAGATTGCACCTTCCGAATGGGACTGGAAATCCCGATTTCCCCCTATAAGTAAGCCCTGCGTACTGACTTCAGTTTCAGGTACCAAGAAACTCAAGATGATGATACCCCCTTCCTCTTTCCAAGAGCTCAAAGAGCAGAGGTATTTTGTTGATGTGAAGGCTCAAAGGAAGAACCTGATACTCTTAAATCAGACCACAGAAACTTCTGGACACCCTTCAGAGCTACATACAACAGCTAGAAATCTCATAATTGAGACACTTCATACAGACACAGTTCGACTGGGATACCTATTCCGCAAGTACATTGCCTATAGGCTGATCCAGCGTGCAAGGTAGATGTAACTATTACATGTTGATTTCTGGTTTAGTCCTGATTTCAAATATCCTCCCACATTGCCCTATAAGTATATTCATATTTATCAGATCAGGTGTTCTAAAAGATTCTCTTATGGTAGGTCTATGGGATGGAAGCCTATTTAAGATAGCAAAAGGAGATATTTTTTAGAAAATAAATATCATATAATATGATCTATTTCATATGTCAAGGTAAATTTTGTGGATAATGACTGATCCCCATAATATCTACTTCAAAAGTTTAGAGTTGCTTCCAGTTATTCTGAATTTTTTACATCATCTTCGGCTCACCAGAAGATGTATGATTCTTAAAATGGGAGATGGCAGATTATGTACAAGGTGTTGCCATGGCAACTTGACTGCTGGAGTGACCTGAAAGAAACAGATCCTCATCCTGATTTTTAAAAATTGCAAATATCAGAAATAGGTCAGGGAAATGGATCTGGTTCCCCCCCGACCCCCCCGCAACCCACACAAACACACATGGCTACCCAGTTCCCCCTACTTATTTAAACATACCTTAGTTATAAATTCTTGTATCAATTAGGTACATATCTGGACTTTTTATTATTTTTTACTGATTACATATAGATGAGTCACTTCTGTTCCATGTTATTTATTGCAGTTTTATTTTCATGATGTTGAGTCTTTGT